GAGTTTTTAATCTCCTGGAAATCTGTTTGCATCTGTTTTATGGATTCCATTTGTTTCCTATGTTGGGATTCCATCATATTCCTCAGCTCCTCTATTTTTTTATCTGTGTCTTCTCTAGATTTATTCATCATGCCTTGCACTGTGGGCACAATCTCTGCTGTTATCTGAGAAATTATTTCTGATTTCTTTTTTCCCAGATCCTCTTTTGTTGCCAGTTGAGGGAGTCCAGGTGGTTGAGTATCAGAGTGTTCCACCTGGTTTCCCTTTGGGGTTGCTGTAGGTGATCCAGAAGTTTTGTTTTGAGGCTTGTTTACGTGTCTTCTCATTTCATGGGGGAGGGGGGTGGAGGTGCAGAGGGATGTGTGCTGCTGGGCCCGTGTGGCTCACCTCCTTGGTGCTGGGGAGTGGTGGTTCAGCTCCTCTGCGCTGGGGATAGCTTCGCTCCTCGGCACTCAGGGCTGGTCCAAATAATTTAAGTAAATAATTTAAAGAATATATTAGATTGCTAAATTGCTAAGCCTAAGCTCAAACTTGCGATCCTCCTGCTTTAGCTTCCCAGAGTACTGGGGTTAGAGTGGTGGCTGCATTGTATCTTTTGACATCCCCTTCCCTCTGCCATTCTGATGTGGAGCTTTTCTCCCCAGTGATTCTCTAGCCCTTCTGCCCAGGGGTTGTCAGGAGCCAGTGCTGGCTGGATCCACAGTTCTGTCGGTCCCAAGCTTCCTTTCTTGGGTTACTCCCTTGTACAATGGGCTGTGTTATGTGATTTTCCTTTTCTTGCCTGCATCTCCCAACAGACATAAACCACCTCAGTGAGTAGGTGTGTTTTCCTCACCCCACAGCTCCTAGAAACAGTGCCTCATACCCAGCAAGGGCTTCTCTCCAGTGTCTGCTGTAGGAAGGGGCTTTCCTGCCTCTGCTTCTTGCTTTGGTCATTCTGAAATACCTATTACTCAAATATTCGGTTCCCTCCACTTATCCTCTGTGTTCCCCCCACTTTTTGCTTTCCCATATCTTTTTCCTTCTCCCCTTCCCTACTTTCTACAAGATTTCTTCAACATGTTTTCCAGTGTTTCAAAAAAGTTTTTAGGTTTGTTTTCTAAATCACCATAACATACTCATTTATTGAATTCCATTGTAATAAAATATAAAAGAAAAGAATGAAGAATAATGTATCTATCATATGATTGGATCTTCTCACAGGAGAGTGCCCCTGTAATTTGCATGTCCCTGTAGGAATTGTATTTATTCACTAACCATCTACACTACCCAGTCAGTTGGGCATGGTAGCATACACCTGAATGGATGGCTGAGGCAGGAAGACCACAAGTTCAGGCCCTATCTGGGCAGCTTAGTGAGAGCCTGACTCAGAAAATAAAAAAGAGATGGGGCTTTAGCTCAGTGGAAGGCCCTGGGTTCAATCCTGAGTACCGCAAAAACAAAACCACCATGTCACAAGGTCTTAGGAGCACGATAGCCAAACAATGTATTCTTTGTCCCCTGCACCTCCTACTCAGGCAAAAGGCTTCTCTGTCCGATGAGTTCAGGTATAAGTCAAAGAATTACAAAGGCTAGATTTGAACCCACAACTCTAGTAGGTGCCACATAGGAGCCCATGGTCCTCTGACAGTTTGTAGTAATAGTGGTCCAGTCTTGAGAAGTCAGGGTGGGAAAGCCTTACACCCCCACCATTTTTTGGTTAGACTATTTTAGTCTGATCATTTTTTGTGCATTTTCTATTTTTCTTGGGCACATACTTTTTATTTGTGTTTATCCTCTTATCTTGGCTACTTTTCTCACAAAATACTCAATGCCCAACATTAAAGGAGGAAAGGTTTATTTTAGCTCAGTTTGTAGAGGATTTATTCCGTAGTCAACTGGTTCCAAGGCAGAGGGGCAGGGCAGAGCAGGAAGGAGGCAGCACAGTAACAGTGCCAGCAGCAGCTGGCCTTCTTTCTGTCCTTTTCTATTCCATCCAGGTTGCCCGCCCTGTGGGAGCTGCCACCCACACCCAGGTTGGGGCACCCTTAATCCCAGTATCACAGCCTAGATCCAGTCAGCTCTGAAAAGCCCCACCTGTGGGTGCATGAGGCTATGGGGGAGATCTAGACACAGCCACGACACCTCCTGTCCTCTCTTTGGCTTCATTGCTGTGTCTTTTCTGTGTAAAAGAGTAAGAAATCCCAGAATCAAACCTGAGGCTGCTGTCCATGAGTGTTGCATACTGGAAGGAGTTCTGAACAAGAGGAATGGCAGGTTGCAGCCTGGAAGGGATCTGCATGGGGACCTCCCACCGACCCAGACCTGAGCCACAGCACAGGAATCATACTTTTCTTTTTCAGCAGGTTTTGATTTTGAAGTTTTTAAGGAAATAATAAAATGATGCAAACATTAAAGGAATTCACAAAATTATAGAACTAATAACCCCTCTGGATTTAGAAACTCTTAGAATTAATATTTTTAAAATCTAAACTAGTTTTATTTTTTATTTGTTTTTGTTTTGTGGTACTAGGGATTGAGCTACATTCTCAGCCTTTGTGAGTTTTTTTGTTTTTTGTTTTGTTTTTGGTACCGGGGATCGAACTCGGATCCTTGAGCTTGCGAGGCAGGCGCTGGAACCACTGAGCTAAACCCCAGCAAGTTTTTTTATTTTAGACAGGATCTTGCAAAGATGCTCTGGCTTGGGCCTAAAGCTGAGATCCTCCTGCCTCAGTCTTTTAGAGTGACGGGATTCCAAGCATGCACCACGATGCATGACTTAAACTAGTTTTTTAAATTACAAAAGCGGTAAATGTTTACAGCAAAAAACAGAAGTTGAGCAGAAAGTTATGAAGGGAAAAAGTCATTCTTAAGCAGTCCCTCCTCTGCTTCTCTAGACTTTGAAATATGTTCACTTTATAATAAAACACTTTATTTTAGAAAATTTTGAAACCAGAAATAAGTGAAAGAAAACACAAAAGTGACCCAGAACCCTAATCGTGAAGTCGCCTGGTGTTGAGGAGAAGGCCATTTTGTCAGGGACTGTCACCTCACCTCCATGCATGTTGCCTGCAGTTTGGCCTTTGCCAACTTCTGAGGCGGCCTCAGGTGAGGGCAGCAGGACTGGCAGATGGCCTGCAGGGAACCCAGGTCACTTGTCATCTCTTCTCAGCTGCAGGGCTGCTGGGCTCTGGTCACTCTGTGGTCAGCTGTGCCATGAGGTACTCCTGGACACGGCATTTCACCTGGCTTGTTTGCCCCATCTGTGCATGTCGAACCCTTCAGAGCAGACATCCTGTTCACCTGCTCCTTTCTGTTGTATGTCTTTGGCCTTCTAGGGCAAGAGTGAAATGGCCCTTTTGTGAAGATCTAGGCACAGAACTCTCAGCACATATGAGCTTTGTTGTTGTTGTTCCTAGGGAATGGCTTTATTTGTTGTGCCATGAAATGCTGAATCCATATTATGGACTCTTCCAGTACTCCACGGACAACATTTACATGTTGCAAATCAACCCAGATTCTTCAATTAACCCTGTAAGTATGCGTAAGGAGATTGGGGTTTATTTGGGGAGTTTTCAAGGTGCATTTTCAGTGTCAGTCCTGGTTTTTGGCTTATTCGCTGTAGATGTAGAGACCAGAGTAAGCATAGTCTTGAAGGCAGACCCCAGACCCCAGGCAGTCGTGTTTTCAAGCGGAGTACAGGAGATGGAGCTGGTCATACAGCGGGCACTTCACTGCCACTTAGGCACCACGGTGCAGAGCCTGTTGGTCCAGAGTGTTGTCTGAGAAGTGGGTTATGAGGTCTAGCCTCCACTTCCCCGTCAGCCTTGCCAGCCACACGGGCTGACACTTGGGGCATGCACATACTTGAGAGAGGGCCTCGTGGCTGGGGTGGGTCCTGGAGTTCCTGTGGGGCTGTGTCCCCTCAGCCGCTGTCAGGACCGCCAGGGCCAAGCCCCGGAGTGTTCAGATGTGGAAAAGCCTTCAGTCAACTTGGAAGTGAAGTTTTGCCAACTTTTCCAAGCTGATTATAATTCAACCCTGAAAGTAGAAATGTGAGGTTTCCTAGTTAAAAACTGGAACAGCCCAGCCCTGGTTTTAGAATGGTTTTTTCCTTTTTTTTTTCTTTTTTTGGTGGTGCTGGAGATCGAACCCAGGACCTCGTGCATTCTAGGCAGTTGGTATACTGTGGAGCCACACCCCAGTTTTCCTTTACTTTTTCACTTGACTCATTCATGCTTGCTTTCCTCTGTGCCCTCCGCGCCATAGATAGCATTGGGCCTCGGAGAGGAGCAAGGGGAACTGCCCGTGGCTCTTTCCTTTTGAGGGGAATAGGAAGGTAAGGCAGGGCTGCTTTGTGCAGGACTCTGCGCTTGGCTTCATTCTCCGCTGTCGCCATGTTGAAATTCTCAGTTTCTGAAAAAGGATCTTTGCATTTTCATTTTGCACTGGACCCCTGCAAGTTATGTGGCAATTCTGAGGAAGTGTCAGGCCTGAACATATAAAACATCCCACTAATCCACAGGAGAGGCAAGCTCTAAATTCCAGCTCCCTAAGCAGCCTTATTCCATCATGAGCGTAAACTCTAAGCAACTTAAGTTCAGTGCTCACCAGTTCACCAGACAGCCTCACAGGAAGCCTGGAGGAAGCTGAGCCCCACCTTGGCTGCTCAGTTCCTAACGAATTCATGTTCTCTGCTGCCCCCTACAGGACCATCTGTCTTATTTCCACTTTGTGGGTCGGATCATGGGTCTGGCTGTGTTCCATGGACACTATATAAATGGGGGCTTCACAGTTCCCTTCTATAAGCAGCTTCTCGGGAAGCCCATCCAGCTGTCTGACCTGGAGTCAGTGGACCCTGAACTTCATAAGAGCCTGGTGTGGATTCTGTAAGTATCAGCTCATGTTCAGCCACCTGAAGACTCACAACAGGGCTTGGCTTGGAGCATGGCCGACTGTGTGTATACACATGCTTGTGTGCATATGTTTTGGGGAAAGTGTGAAGTTGGAGAAGGGAAATAAGGAAACTACTATATTACAACAAGAAACAACAGATTTAACCAAATTACAAAATTGACTGACCTTTCTTATGACATTGGCCAGTTTCTCCTCATGGGCTAGTTTCTTTGGTTGTTTCCTTGAGTTATTATGGTCTGATTATAAATGTCAGTGGCTATTCCCAGCCTGGGGTGTGGGAGGAGAAAGAGAGCCCACAGGATCTCTCGTTAATCTGTAGAGGGGCCAAGAAAGTATTGAGACAAAATGAGTGTTTAGCCCCCTTACCATAAACACTCTTGGGAGTGGCAGGACAGATGCTGCTGTGGAGCTGGAGCTGAGTCAGGGCTCCACTGCCTCTTCTGGGTTTTTCTTGGTTTTTTGTTCCTCTTGGGTTTTACATGCTCCATTTGGAGGTTCTTGAGCCAGGAGTCAGGGTCACCTCCTTCTGGGGATCTTCCCCTCTGTGTCTTAAACAGAGCAGATTAGGGCTGGGGATTTAGCTCAGTGGTGCTGCGCCTGCCTTGGAAGCGTAAGTTCCTGAGCTCAATCCCTGGTACTGGGGGGAGAAAAAGAAAGAAAGAAACAGAGCAGATTAAAGAGCCAGAGTTGCCTTCTGAGTGGTTGTGTGTGAGAACGGGTGTGTGTGAAAAGGCTGCCTTGAAAGGGGGCAGGTCACGGTGCCAGGGCGGCATCCTCAGGGCGCAGTTCTTTGACTCCGTCACCTCTTCACAGTCTCTTCCTTCTTGCCCAGACTCAGGGCAAAAAGCAGTTCAGTCGCGTGGTGGAGCAGCGTGGGCCCTTCCCGGGCATGCGAAGGCGAAGTTGGGGACACAGGAACAGCAGCCACGCCTTCTGGCTCATGCAGCACCAGCGCTTCAGGCCCTGCTGGCTTCTGTTCACAGAGTTCCCTCCTCTTCCTTTCTTCGGGACTGGGTGACGGCACAGGTGTGACAACCACATGTCTCTGTCTTCTTTGGCAGAGAGAACGACATCACTCCCGTTCTGGATCACACGTTCTGCGTTGAGCACAATGCTTTTGGGAGGATTCTTCAGCACGAGCTGAAACCCAATGGCAGAAATGTGCCCGTCACTGAGGAGAATAAGAAGGAATATGTGCGGTAACGTCCAGGGCATGCCTGGGGCGGCCTGGGTGCAGCGGGTTCATGTTCGGGTTGGCATGGCTTCTGCACGAGGCTTGCCTCTCCCTAAGGGCACTTGTGAGCAGAATCATGTGAGCAGAGGCAAATTCCAGTCAGGCTTGGCTTCTGCCACCGGGTGCAGCTGTGACAGAGCCCAAGCCAGGAAGCACTCACATGGCCGCCTGACTGGGGCAGAAAGCTGAGCCCAGGGAGAGCAGCAGGCCCCAGAGGCGCTATGCTGCCAGTCCCCAGGGAGTCCTCTCCAGTGTTGTGGGGCCACCTCTTGCTTGAGGCAACCCAGCATAGGGACCAGTCACTTGGATTAGAGACTCCGAAATGTGGGCACGTATACTCTCAGAGTGATGCAGTTTTCACACTGCCCTTTATTTTACTTCCAAATGTACTTAATTATACCACTTGATCTAGCAGGCCAAGTTAAGTCCTACTGCTGGTTTTAGTAAAACTTCAGAATATGTAGGGGAACATGCTGAGGGGTTTTTTCCCTGTGGTTTTGTTTGGTTTTTCGGTACTAGAGATTGAACTTTGGGTGTTCACACTGAGCTACCTCCCCACCCCAATTTTTAGAGACAGGATTTTGCTAAGTTGCCCAGACTGGGCTAGAACTTGGAATTCTCCTGCCTCGTTTTTGTTTTTGTTTTTTGGTACCGGGGATCGAACTCGGGTCCTTGCTCTTTTGGGGCAGGTGGCGGCACCACTGAGCTAAATCCCTGGCCCTCTCCTGCCTCATTTTTAATTGAATGTTAAGGTGTGGTGCTTCAGTCAGTGGGGTTTGTGTTTGTCTTAGCGGGGAAGGGGCTGGCTGCACTGTCAAACCGAGCCTGCTGCTGGAGGCCAATGTGTCTCTGTGACCTACTTGGTACTGCTTCCGACATGTAGCCTTTTCTTTCAGGTTGTATGTAAACTGGAGGTTTATGCGAGGCATTGAAGCCCAGTTCTTAGCACTTCAGAAGGGGTTTAATGAACTCATCCCTCAGCATTTACTGAAGCCCTTTGACCAGAAGGAACTAGAGGTAGGTGTGTGGCACTAGGCCATCAGTGCTATACGAAGCTCAGCTGTGTCCCAGAAGGGCAGAGTTGGGGCTCGGGCAGAGAGGGGACCTGAGGGCATCTGTGCTGGCTTGTCACCTGGTGAGGTGTCCCCTTGGCAGCAGGGAATCTGAATAATTCTAGGAAATCAATTGAGGGGCTTGTGCCTTATTTTTCAGGGTCTCTAGCATGGAGATTCCACAGCCCTCACCTCAGACCAAAGACCTTTTCTCATGTCTACTCCAGTCCTATTTGGTTATTTTGGCTATTAATAGACCAAGAACCAAGTGTTACTGTCTCCTCTGATCACATTTCCTGGGCTTAGGCACAGGGCTGTCTTAGTCTGGTGCCCAGAGGCCCACCCATGCCTTCCAGCTGACTCATAGATGCTGGAGTTCAGAGCACCTGGGTGGGAGGTAGTTTTGTAAAGCAACCCCCATGCTCCAGTACCGGGGAATGAACCCAGGGCTACACTTTGCACTGAGATACATCTTCAGCCCTGTTGTTATGGAGGCCGAGTCTTGCTGAGTAGTCCAGCCTAGGCTTGAATTTATGATCCTCCTGCCTCAGCCTCACAGAGTGCTGGGATTACAGATGTGTGCCACCACACCCAATTGAGCTTGTTAAACAAGTAGGGAATTATATCCCACATACCCTGACTCTGTATAACTTGCCAAGGTCCCTTGTGTGTCCTGCAGGGATGCCACAGTGTGATCTTAGTTACAGTTAGTTTTTTTGTTTTGTTTTGTTTTTTTCCGGTACCAAGCATCAAATTCAGAACCTTGTGCTTGCGAGCCAGGTGCAGCACCACTGAGCTAAATCCCTGGCCCCTACAATTAGCTGTGTTCCGTTTTGCCAGTTGGTCCTTTGATACTCACTCCTCACCATCGCAGAGGACAAGGAGAGCTTTGGTTCCACGATGGTGCCATTCCATTAGCTGTGCACTGAAACCCTGGGGCTGAGCACCAGCTGAGAAAGATTGAAGCTAAGGGTGGGCTCCTTCGTGTGCAGCTTCTTCCCGTCTGAGCGTCTGACTAGCAGACTGGGACAAAGCTACTTCCTGGCTTTGGGCCCCAAGTCTTTAATTCCTCGAATGCATCACACAGTGGCTTCTGCCTTTTGGCAGTAAACCCCTGCTGTGTTGCTTAGTTGATCATAGGTGGCCTGGACAAGATTGACCTGAATGACTGGAAATCTAACACGCGGCTGAAGCACTGTGTGGCAGACAGCAACATCGTCAGGTGGTTCTGGCAGGCAGTAGAAACCTTCGATGAAGAGAGAAGAGCTAGGCTCCTGCAGTTTGTGACTGGCTCCACACGAGTTCCTCTCCAAGGATTCAAGGCCCTACAAGGTGACTGACATGGCAGTAGGGCTAATCCCTGAGGCATGCTACATCGCCTGTGTTCTGACTAGAACTGTGGTAGGGAGAACCTCAGTGTTTGGCGCTGTGAGATGTCCACTAGAAAACTGGCCAGTGTTCTCTTATAATGGAAGCTCATCGCTGTGTCACTGCATGCCAGGTGGGTGGCAGGTCCCCACTGAACACAGACCAGGGAGCCACTCCAGGGCACATGGTTCCCCTGTCCTTACCGCTTTCAAAAAGCATAGACAGTCGGACTGGCAAGGGCCACTGAGGTATCTGGTAAGGCCTTGGTGTTCTGTGTCTGCAGAGCCACGTGATCAGGACCCCACTCCAGGGAGAAAGTGAAAGGAGCCACCTGCAGCCACTGTGGCCACAGCCTGAGGCTGCAGATCTGGTGCAAATACGGAATATTCACCAGGACTTTTGAGAAGGCCCGAGGCAAGGGGGCCACGGTGGTATCTGCCTGTAAGTTCTGCAGGGCCCAGTGCCAGTGGAGAGGGTTGCAGGCCGAGCGCCCTGGGTCTTTGCCTGCCAGCCCAGCACCTACAGTGGGCTGAGCAGGCTTTCCGTCCCCACTGCACAGATGAACTCAATGAGATCCTAGGATTTATTTGTCCCTCCAAGGAAATAGTGAGGTGGTAAGCGAGGGCAGAATCCTGATACTGTGATTCCACACTTTGCTTTCCTGATTGATTGACAACTCACACAGCAGCCCTGCTTGGAAAGTTTTTTATTGCTGGAAGGATCTTACAGTATCCTCTCTAATTGGATGGAATTGGGATCAGTGTCCCTGCAGTGTGCACAAGGAAGGCAGCCTGGACATGGCCCAGGTGTGACCAGGGGAGCGACAGGGTCCTTGTTCAGGATAGAGTGCCAGTGCCGTGGGACGAGACATGAGCACTGCTTGCTTCAGGGGTGCAGACTGGGCACCAGTGCCCAGGGCCCAGCACAGCCGGCCCCTCTCAGGAGATGGACTGGAGAGGGTGGAGCTGCCCCGACTACCACTGTGGCTGAGGGGGGCACAGCCTCCTTCCGGGGGCCATCAGGACCCTCTCCCCTTCCAGAAGGTGGTGGGCTGTTAGCATCATCATTACGGCCCCACTGCTGCTGCTCCAGGCACTGCTGGCCTTTGCCCTACTGGGAGGAGCCAGAGAACACGAGGGAGCAAATGCCAGCACAGGGAGCCCAGCGGCCTGTACAGTCTGCATCGGTGTGCAGGCGGGTGTCATGGTGTTGGCTCCACCTTTGCAGTAGCAGCTGTGACTGGTGCTGGCCACATGGTACCACTTGAGGCTGAGTCTGAAAGGATCTGAGCAAGGAAGGACCCAGGGACGGTGAGCCCTGTTCAAAGGGAGGTGCCCAGAGATTTCACCCTCAGACACCCTGCGGCTGCTTAGTCAAGGGATGTGAGCACCTTCTTCAGACGTCTGTTCTGAGTCCTCTGAAATGTCTGATTTCTGTACTGGGTGCCACTGATGCCACTCAACCCTGGTGTTGGGGCTGTGCCTCTGAGGTGCATTGACTAGAATATTGTCTTGTAAGGTTCTACAGGCGCGGCAGGCCCCCGGCTCTTCACCATCCACCTGATAGATGCAAACACTGACAACCTGCCCAAGGCCCATACCTGGTAAGAACTGCTGCTGGGTGGCACTGGGTCCTGGGGGTGGGGCCAGAGCCCTGGTCTGTCCCATTGTTTCAGCTGTTTTCTTCATTGTAGGGCTCTAATTCATTTATGCAGAGTCTTAGATAATGTCAGTAAGAGCGTTTGTGTCAATGGGACACTTACGTGAGTGTTGTCGGGAGACTTATGAAACTGATTTTCTGTGAAGCATGCAACTGATCGGTACTGGTATTCTGGCAACACCCTGTGGTGGCCACTGCAGAAACCCCTCTTCCTCCTCCTGGGCCTCCATGAATCTGAATGCATGTGTGCACCTATCAGAAGGCGAAACCATAGATTCGAATTTGGATTTATTGGTTTTCACTTTAACATTTCTCGGTCCCCATTTTCCTTCTTGAAAATGAAGATGATGAGATGCCCTTTTGAAAAGTTTTCTTCCTAAATTTTAACTTAAAAACGAATATGTGGCATATACTTTGTCCCAGGACTGCTGGCCTCTCCTGCAGGAGACAGGTTCCACATGTTGCTGGGATGCTGACCCAGGAGCGTGGGTGCAGGTGCTGCTCTCACACACTCTAGTGATGGGTTCTGGGGCAAGTTACTGCGTAGTCTAAATAGACTTAACAGACATCTGGGAAACAGCTGTTGCCAGGACTCTTGGGCAACATGAAAGCCCTGTCCTGTCCCACCGTGGTGGTGTCATCTGTTTACAGGAACCTGCCATGTTGGGACATGGTGATGCCTTCCTCAAAAGGTTTCTGTTCTTTAATAGTTCAGTACTTGGCATAAAAGACATGAGAAAAACACCCTCCAACATTAAAGTACTGGTGAAAAGGAGCACCACCCCACCAAACTCATAAGTCACAGATGGAGCTGTCCCTAGGTGCTGAGCCCCAGTAATTCACAGGTCACCCTGTGCTCTGGGTCACAGCTCTGTGTTTTCTTTGTTATGAGATAAGTTTCCTAAACAATGTCTTTTTCTTGGATAAATACTGCAAATGAATTTCCCATGGAAGTATTGAGTCAGAAGTTTAACATTCATTTCATCTTTCAGAGATTTGGCACTTTATTAAAAGGTTTGAGATATAATGTGTTTTTGCAGGGAATTTTCCAGACTGCCCCATTTGGGTCTCAGATCAAATCCCAAAGGAACAGACAAGTCAGCAGGGACTTGGCTGATGGCCAGTCTAGATTCCAGGGGTCAGCAAAGGGGTGTTCCTGGTAAGGAAACGTAATTCTTCCCAGAGACAAAGAAACAAATTACGAACTTTGTCCTCATATAAACAGTCTTAAGTAGTAATTTAGTTATAGTTTGGTTTTGAAGGTCTTGAGATTTATTTTGCTGTGGGTTGACTGAAAAAAATCTTTGCCTTAGAAACACCAAGAAGAGGTGGAGAACTCAGTCCCCGCCCCGCCCCACCCCGCCCCGCCCCTGGGCTGTCATGCTCCCACACATTTGCTGCTCGCTTGTCTTCTGCCTGGCTGTGACCTGGAATGCAACCCAAGAGCTTGCCCCCAGCAGTGACTCTGGTCCCTTTACCCTTCTCCAGCTTTAACCGGATCGACATCCCACCTTATGAGTCCTATGAGAAGCTCTACGAGAAACTGCTGACCGCAGTGGAGGAGACCTGTGGCTTTGCTGTGGAGTGAAGAGCAGCTCAGGGCGGCAGACTCTCACTCATGACCACCAGACCAAAAGCAGAGCTTCTGTGTGCCTCCCGCAAAGCCGGCTGAGGCCTGGAGTTCCAGAAACCCGAGGGAAAAGGCTTCTCTCTCCTTCCTTGGCAGAAGGAGGGGGCAGGGGACTCCCACCATCTGTCCCTCCTTTATTATAGTCCTCCCACCCCTCCATTACCCATCCAATAAAACAAAGCCAGGTTCCGCCTTTGGCCTCAGTCACACGTGACGGACGAAAAGGCTCACGGCCCTGTGCTCTTCCTAAGGGTCAGCCGGGCCCACCAAGGGCTTGCACGGTTGCACAACAGCCACCTCCTCTCCATACAGCCTCAGCGCCCCTTTTCAAGTTCAGCAGCTGCTGGTTACTTTACTAGAGCTCAGATTCCAAATCTTACATCCTAGCAGCCTGTTCCGGGTGGCAGATTAATTTCTAACTCCACAGTGACTATATAGTGTATGCTTATTGGAATTGTGCCATGGCAGGAAGCTTGAGGCAAAATGTGTTTCCCCTTTGAGAGGTGAAGGAATTGGAGCAGCTTTCATTGGAGGCCCAGGCTATTTCTTTTCAGGGTATCCTGGCTGAAAAAACTCATTTTGCACAGAGAAAAACTATCTTTCCTTTGCTGCATCCTATATCCGGTTTGAAATTCTTTCCGGTGAAAATACCACATATCGGAGCTAAGCAAAGAACACACCAAAACCAGCCTCAGATCCAACCAGTCGGTCCAGTGCGGACTCCCGTGCCCTGGTGTACGCGGAGGAGCACCGACTGTGTCTCTAGAAGTGTTACAGACTTTGATGTGGCAATTGCTAAGAGCGAAACTAACAATTCTGTTACTAGTTGAAAAGGGGGGGACAGTGGCCCTGCTGAGCAGTTCCACCTGAGTTCGTGCTGTACACAAACAGGGTATGGATATGAACCAGTGACACAGGATGGGGATGGCTTTACACGGACCCAGCTGGCCCCTTCTCCTGGTGGCACTGGTGACGTTAACAGTTCAGTTCACTAACCCACGTCTCCATGGCTGAGCAAGGGCAAAGCCAGCCGACTGCATTTCTACCACCATTTCCAGTTTGCACAAAAGTTCAGACAGTGTTTTATTTCCACAGAGTGGCTTGTTTTGGGACAGCTAAGCCTCCATGGAAGAGAGCAGCAGCAACAAACTTCTCGGTATGGTGTTGCTGTTTTAGTTTGGGGTGGGGGCGAGCACAGGGTAATTCATTAGCAAGACATTTCATTGCTGTTGAAGTCTGAGTTCAGTGTTGGCTCCTGCTGTGGTCTAGGATGGATCAGGAAGGCCCTTTGGATGACGTTCATCTGTTGTTTTTGTTGCTTTTACTGAGACCAGCGGTGAGGAGGATCACTAATCCCTGCATCTGGCTGTGCTTCTTGTGCTTGCCCTGGAAGCAGTCTGGGGTGCGCTCACCATCTTAGGTCACAGACCTGGTCCAGGTTTGTCCAGCTCGGAAGCCGCTGGTCCCAGGGTCTGTAGACTGAGCCTCACTCTTGGCTGCTGATGTGCTGGGACAAAGGACTATGTGGGACTCACTGCAGAAGGAGAGTTGAATCCGTTTGAACATCCAGGCCAACGTGTGGCCTTAGTCTTGTTCAATTTCTTGCCTTGCCCCAACAGGGCTCATCCACGTCTCCTTCACCTTGATGCTTTGGAGGGCGTTCTAGAAACCCGTTCCCCTGGGACTCCATCCAGTGTTCCCTTACAGTCTCCCCTGAAGCTTGAGGAACTGAAAGGTACAGGCCCCCAGGGAGGTTTGCTCTGTGACCTGACCCTGGCCATGGGGAGCAGCCTAATTCTTGAGGTCAGAAATTGTGCTGATATCCTGGTGGTGCTACCCCACACCTGCAGCGGTGAGGACAGAAGCCAGGGTCTAAAGTTCAAGACTGTGAAGCAGGAGTGGTGCCTGTGGCACCTTCAACACTACCTTCACGTGCTGGGAGGAGTGGCAGGATGGTCCCGAGCAGCTTACACACTGGCCCTACCTCTCCTGGCAGGGGTCCATTCAGCTAAGATTGAGGTAGTGGCTTGGGCCCACCATGGCCTTGTTGCAGACCTCCCCAGAGTTGTGTCCTGTCTGCTCTCTACTGGGCCTCTGGCAGGGCATGGTACTTCAGAACCTGAACTGACCATGGTCCGGGGCTTCTGCACTTCCTGAAGACCCTCCATGGCAAGTCCATGAAGCTCCTGGTTGTCCCATATGTGATATTGTTGGTCCCCCCATGCCTACCCCGTGGTCCCTCCTCACCCAAATCTTTCAGGGGCCCAACTTTCCAGGCTCGCCCTCCCAGCGGCCAACAGCCGACACTCAGGGATGTAGCAAACCACCACTCTGCAGCATTAGGGCAGGAAAGTGAGGGGCCACATGGCGGCTGGTGGCCGGCCGGGAAGGGGTGGGGGCAGAGCGCTCTCTGGATCTCTGAAAGGAGACTCTGCCACTAGGTTGGATTTTGACCCCTAAGCCAGCTCAGCCATGTGGTCCAAGTTCAGGTTAGGTGGACCTCAACTCGGAGCTGTCAGGAACGGCCCTCTGCAGAGAGCACACCTTGCCACCTGCAGCCGGTGTGTGCCGCACAGCAGCCTTCCTGAAACACAGCATGGATTTTTAAAGTTTGTTTGTTTTTGTTTCTCAACCACTTTATAATGTATTTTTAATTTATTTTGTAATGTCTTATTTTTAAGTATTGCTGCTATCCTTATTATTCTTCCCACTGTTTTTATTGCTGATTTATTTTGTCAAAAGTTGTACACTAATGTTCCGTTTTATGTCAAAATCAAAAGTATTTAAATACTAGTTCTATTTAACGTGGTTATGGAACCAGCTGGAAACACAAAACAGATTGTACAGCAGGCTGGACCCGGGAGGTCAGATTCATTTTGTTACATATGCAATAAACTCACAACTTTACATTTTATGATGCGTGTTATTTTGGTGTGGCAAAGAGATTCCAATTTCCTTCCAGTTTCACAAGAAAGGTCAGAAATACTGAGAAGGGCCTTCCGAGGGGAGAGCGAAAGGACAGACGAAACCCTAATGGAAACGTAGTGGCTGGTTGGAAGTGCTTTATCAAGCAAAACCTCACGGGATTGGGAAAGCTCAGAATCTGTTGGCATCTTTGCACACGCAAAAGAAACTGCTTCATCGTGGGGAGATGGCTTCAAATGTATCTGCTATGTCAATAGAAGCAACTAAATCAGCCCCCAAAATACATCAGAAAAGAGAACTTAAGACTCAACCAAAATTGTAGTCTAAGGAAGCTAAAAACATAAAGTCACTTCCAAAAGAAGCTGTAGGGCAGAAGAGTGGATGCATGTATGGAATATAACACAGCACTGGATGGGACGGGACAGCACGGGGGTCAGCTACTGTGTGGCCAGAGGTGCCACTGAGCCCAAGGTCAGCTCTGCTGCCAGTGACAGACCAAGCCACCCAAGGTCAGCCAGCTCCTGGCCCAAGAAGACTGACCATGGGCGAAGATGTGGTCAGCAGGAACATGGAGCTGGACGCTGCAGCTGTGTTAAAAAATGGAAGTCCCTTGGTTAAATAAAAAGGATTCTGAAGAAACTGAAATGGCTGAGTTACCCTCTTAATTTCAAAACTCTTGAAGAGAAAAGAAACTAAATATATGCTGAAGTGGTAAGAAAGTCAGCAATGTCCTTCCAGATAATATTAATGACCTGAAAACATTTCACTGAGGTCAGAAACAACAATGGTAGAAAGCCAAATGCCCAAGTTCTGGCAGAACTGTGTTGTGGTAAGAATGACTCTCTGAAGGACAGTCCACCAACATGAGTTTCCTGTGGAGAGACAGGAGACACAGGCTGTTTCAGAACAGCCATGCACAGGAAAAGCTGGACACTGCCAAAGACCACAACTGTCGCAGAAACATTAGCTGGCCTTGAAGCGGCCCATGAGGCTGCCAGTTCGTCATGACAGAAACACAAAAATTACCGAGGAATTAAAGGCTACACATTTTGAGAATAATTGGTTGTAAAGGAAGCAGGCAGCAGAGGCTCAAGAGCCCTACCAAAGAATCTTCTCCACAGCAGGTTCGGAGGAGCATCTGGTAACAGGGACGTGGGGTGTGGCACCTGGGTGTACTCATGCCCCCACAGGCTGAGCCTGTTTCGGGAAAGGGCCGTCCACTGGCCGCGCCAATCCTGCCGATTGTCAGGCAGCCTAAACAAGTGCCCCAACACACACACCCTGCGTGCTTGGCTGGGGCTCTGTCCTCCTTCAGGGTCAGATGTTAGCAAGGCAATTTGAGGACCAATCTTGAGAGAAGAGTACCCATCCTGTCCCCATCCTGGAAAGGGAGGTGTCACTTGCTAGGGACTCTGTCCTCCAAGGGCTTCTGCTGGCCCAGCACACCCTCCACTGACCACAGAAGCCTCAGTCCCACCTGCTGTCCACACAGCCCAGGGCAATCCCCTTTCCTAGGTGGCTGCTTCGGAAGATCCAGAACCATAGTGAGCCGCTTTTATCTACCTGCTAAAGGAATTCTGAATTTTTCCATTTAAGCATATTGCCTTTAGTGTGGATATTAAGTTAGAATCTTGGTAGAATTATTCTTAAGACAGTGATGAGTAACTGACAATATTTAAATGTGAACCATTCAAGTTAACTGCTTCCATTTAATTCTATTTGTAGGTAGTGTTAATACAGAATTTTAGTTGTTCCCTAAAATAATATAAATAGCAATAGTTATCTTTATTCTAAAATAATTTCATATTTTTCCCTTTGGACTTTATTACTGAACTTACTACGTAAGGGCTCAAACAGAAGCTCTGTAACACTGTATTCTTAGGATGTGACTGGTGAAAGTGCGTTACAGCATGTGAATCTTATTGCTGACTTCCATCTTATTTGACTACTAGCCATTATAATATAGTACTTTTGCTTCTTAATGAGTTTCTTCTATTGGCATAGAAAGTAGTTTCCTGTCTCTCCTCTACAGTGACTTAATTTCCTCTCATTTGTTTAATGTGGGCACTTAAGCAATTATCCAAGTGAAGAAATGGAAATTCAACAACAATCACAATTCTTTGGGGCTTGCTTTACAAATGTACTTTATTTAAAAGTGAAGGTCATGAGTTGTTTCTTTTCTCTGCCTCCAGAGAATGAGAGAGAACAGGACTCCATTTGCTGCTGTGTGCCGCCCCATGACATAAGCTAAACACCTCAGAGTTCATTTCTATAAGCCAACGACTGTACTTGTTCTATGTTTAAGACAAATACATTTACTTTAAGGTTTAGTTTACAATTTTAAAATTTATACTTTTTTTTTTTTGGTACCAGGGATCAAACTTGACCTTGCGCTAGCGAGACTGACGGCAGAACCACTGAGCTAAATCCCCAGCCCAAAAATTTATACTTTTTTGCAAAGTGTAAGTCAGTAAAAAATTTAAAATGTCTAAAGAATGACATCACCATGTACATGGTGGACTAGGAAATTGCAGGCTCTTGCATGTTTCTCCATGGAAACACAGATGAACAACTAGAGACTGGCCAAAATACCTTCTTCTCAGAACTGTGGAAGGCAGCTGAAGATCTACCGTAACCAAGCAAGTGCTCACAGAAGAAAAAGATCTGTTCAAGACAATGCGACATCTGGTTGCATTTTACATGTCCACCCCTCCCTAGCCTGGCACAAAAGCAGTGACCCAGTCCCAGTTCCCTCCGGTGATCAGAAAGAGCAAAGCAGACTGAATTTTCGATGTCTGAGCTGTGTGGCCCCTTCCTGTGTTGCCCAATGGTGAAAAGCAGCACAGCTGAGAGCTCAGGCTGGGGAAATGAGGGAAGCAGCAAGCACAGCTTGAAAAACTGCGACACACCAAGCCAAGGGAGCCTGCGGTCAGGGATGACCGACTGGAGAAGACAGCGGAGGAGCGTGACCTGAGACACGGGGTTGAACAGTAAAGGGTACTAAGACCTTTAAAAGCTGCTGTGCGTACAGAACAACAAAACAAAAACTAAACAACACACAGGCCCAGAAAGCACCCTTCAGACTACGGTGAGCTCTTGTCCTGCAGGTAGCTAAACTGCAAAGACTGGGAGAGGTGGCTATTTTCTCAAGTAACCTATTTTCAACAGAAGATCAGAAGACTTGAAAACAAGGTCCACTCAAAGGACCAAAATATATCTACAGAAATCATCCCTTAAGAAAGACACAGACACTTACTAGACTTAGTAACTATAGTCATTCCAGTGTATATCGATTTCGAAACATCATGTTGCACATAATACATACAGTTGGTCAGTTTAAAAACAAAGTCTTAAAAATGCTCAAAGAGCTAAAAGGAATCAGAAAAACGATATATGAACAAAATGCCAGTATCAAATGAAAATTATAAGAAATTCTGAAGAATACAGAAATTCTGAAGCTGAAAAATATAACAATTGAAAAAATTCACTAGAGGGGTTCAACTGCAGACCTGGAATCAGTGATTTAAAAAAAACAAAACATTTATTTTTTGAAACAGGGTCTTGCTATGTAGTCCAGGCTGGGCTTGAACTCATGGCAATCCTTTCTGCCTCAGCCTCCCAAGTGCTGAGAATACAGGAGTGTGCCACCACACTCGCTGCAACCAGTCATTTTGAAGGAAGAGCCAACAAGTGATCCTGACGACAGTTCACTTGAAATTGTCAAGTAGGAGCAAAAAAAAAATGAGAAAAGTAAACCCCAACAGACTTCTGGGACAACATCAAGTGGACCATATCTGCATACAGAAGTCTCAGAAGAACAGAGAAAATAATGCACCCAATTTGAAGAAGGACATGGATCTACAAATCTAAGAACCTTGACAAGCTCCAAGTAAGATAAGCCCAGACCAAGACATATAATCAAACTGCTACAAGACAAAAAAATTCTTGAAAGCAGCAAAAGAAGTCAGCATGTATAAAGAACACATTTCTCAGCAGAAACCCTGGTGACCAAAGGCAGTAGAATAAGCTATTTAAAGTCTTGAAACACTGTCAACTGAGAATTCTACATCTGGCAAAATTGTTCTTCAAGTGAGGGAAAAATTAAGACATTTTCTGATTTTAAAAAAACCCAAGGGAATTCATGACCACTAGACCTGCTCTACAAGAAATGTTTTAAAGGGAGTCCTTCAGGTTGAAATGAAAGGACACTAGACAGCAAGAAAGCATAAAATGAAGGAAAACTAGAAAGGCTACAAACGTGAAAATGAACAACCAACCAATGGGTCAAATAAGTAATCATAAAGGAAAACAGAAAAACACCTTGAGATAAATAAGAAAATACGATATAACCAGAAATAAACCCTCATATACACACTTGATGTCAACAAGGGTGTCAATGGCCTTTTTCTTCTTTTTTAACAAGACAGGCATCAATAAATGGTGTTGGGAAAGCTGGATATGTATGTGCAGAAGAGTAGTGTTGGACACTTACCTCATACCATGTACAAAAATTAACTCACTGGATCAAAGACATAAAACTTAAAAAATGCTTTGTGACACTGGATTTGGTAAGGATGTCCTAGATATGACACCAAAAACAAGCAACATAAAAGTAAACTGAACTACATAAAAATTAACTTATCTATCTGGAGACTATAAACAGAATGAAAAGGCAAATAACAAGCAAGTTATTTGTTCATTTTATCTGTAAGGGATTAATATCCAAGCCAATCCAAAACTGTGGAACAGTAGACATTTCTCCAAAGAAGACTCACAATTGGCTAGTGAACGTAGCAAAGCCGTTCAACGTCACTAATCACTGGGGAAATGCAAATCAAAACCACAGCGAGAAACTGAGGTAGGAGACTAGGGTGTGGCAAAGCTGGCTGGGGAAATATGGACCTGTTACTTACAAACTCCCAGGACCCTCGCGGTACACTCTCAGGCTTTGCACGTGGACTTACAGGACAGCCTTGACCTGACGGCAGCCTGCAGTGTGGGCAGGTCTCCACTGGGCTCTTTGCAACTGTGTTCTTCACAAAAGTCCATGCTTAAACTGCAGAGGGTACTTCCTTTTCTGCTTTTTCTTGGTCCCAGCTTGCTCTGTATAGCATGTTTCTTTTCATACCTTTAATAAATGCAAAACTGCTGAGGAAGTAGCTCAGTGATAGAGTACTCTAGCATGCACAAGGTCCTGGGTTCAACCCCCAGCATGGCAAAGAAACAACAAAATTGAAAAAAAAAAAAAAAAATCCTGGGCCGGGGATTTAGCTCAGTGGTTTCGCCGCCTGCCTCACAAGCACAAGGTCCCAAATTCGATCCCCAGTACCAAAACAAACAAAACTCCAGAACTCATATTTTAAAAAGGAAAATAAATAAATGTAAAACCTTGCTACCACTTCGAGGAGGAGACTCCAGCACCCCAAAATGCAGTAACAAAACCACTTCACACGCATTAAGATGGTGTATTTGTCAGCTTTCCCACTGCTGGAATCAAATTCCCAACACGCGCAACTGAGAGAAGTTAAATATTTTGGTTCAGTTTCAGAGGATTCACTGCAGACTGCTGGCTTCAAAGCAGAAAGAGCATGGCAGGAAGGCACGGCGGAAGAAGGCCGAGCCATTCGTGGAAGCCAGGGAGCAGAGCAGGGGACCACATACAGCACTTGGCATCAAGCCTCCGTTCGCCACCCTGACACACACAGAAGTGCACTTTTACTAATCCCCTAGGGGGCTCCCAAGCCATGTTGACAGTTAAGCTTAACAGTCACAGATGTCTATTATATAAAAATCAAACAAAAACCCGAAAACAAGTTCAGCAAGAAGGTGGAAAAATTGGAAATCTCATGCACTCTTGGTGAGAATATGAAACGCCATTATGGGAAACAATATGGTGGATCCTGCCATACAAAAACTAATCGCTCTATGGTCAAATTATCCTGCTTCTGGAGATAGAACTCAAAGAATTAAAAATAGGGACATGAAGAAATATCCGTACGGCTATGTTCATAGCCATGTAACACACAGTGGAGAGATGGACGCAATCTATGTACCCACTCGTGGATAGGCAAAATGTGGCACACAGGCCAAGAGGCCTGAAAAAGGCCTTTATGACTCAATCCGGATAAGCACTGAGGATATTACGCTAAGTAACCAGTCAGAAAGGGAAGTAGTGTGTGAGTCCACTTACGTGAGGTCTGGGAACAGTCAAACTCGCGACAGAAAGGAGTGACAGCTGCCAAAGGTGGGTGGGTGGAGGATGCACATTCTGTTATGCACATTTCATCACCGTCATAACCGGAGTCCAGTGTACCTCAGAATGGTGGCTGACAAATTGTACGGGTGGCCACTGTAAAGCATGACTTTCTCAGGCTTCCCCAGCTCCCAGCACTGCCACTTCGAGGTGATCGCCAACTCCAAATCCCTGGAATCCGGGTCCAGTCTTTTCTCTTACACGTGGAGCTCAGGGGATAGCTCCTGCCCCGGCTGTTCTCCAAATGTCAAGTTTTCCCTGCAAGCAGATCACAGTGCGGCTGCCTGGCAGGGAACCCTGGACTCCTTTCCCATTAGTAGCACAGACTTGCCAACCCCAGCAATCTACGGTAAGAAACAAGCTTTCTTTACGCTGACGCTCCCCTGCTCATCCCCATGCCCCCTCCACCGCAGGCTCTTGAGCACACAGGACGAATGCTGCTGCAGCTTTCTGCCTGTGCACACAGCAAGGACCATTGGAAGGCACCTACCTGTCTCTGGTCTGCGGTCACAGCTTCGTCACTGGAGAATCCAAGAGACTTTCTCACCACGACAGCTCTCCCTGAGAATGGGAAGTCATTTAGAATGGAAGCGTCCAGTCAGGTGGGCAGAACCTGGTGCTCTGCCTCCATCTTCCATCTGGGGTGCAGCGTGGGGTGCAGCGTAGGGTACAGAGTGGAGCCAGGCGAGGTTCCACCCATTTCTCCAACACTGGACAAACCACTCACCTTCTACGGGAAACCCCTTCTCATCAAGGAGAGCGCTGTCCCCCCTGGGGTCCTGGAGCCGATGTAGTGACCACCAGAATAGCTTCGGGAGCTTCTTGCTGTCAAGGAGCTTGCATCACAGTCGCAGCCTGGCCACAGGGGACAGGCACAGCTGCCCTAACTCCAGTCTGCAAGGAGACTGGAGCAAGGTCAGCTTCAGGCAAGCCCGGAACAGTGGGGTGCTGAGGGAAGGGAGGGGGGTCCACACGCATCCCGAAAGGACTGTCCTCCTTGCAGAAACCGGCACGTCCCAGTGAAGAACTCTGCTTGACGCAGAATCCCTTGGCCCTGCTGATGTCACAGCCACTAGGACGGGCTCTCCTGCTCTATTCACACAGCCTGTCTAGAGTGTGAGCCTGGCCAGGGTTCAGGCTAGATGAAGGACAGTAAGCTGGAGAGGTGGTTCACACACCAGGTACTCCACACGGAGGCCTCCAGCACTCTGTACACGCGGTGACACGCCAGTGGCTCTGTGATAAGACTCAGCTGGAGGGGCCGCAGACTCCAGGCTGCCCTGCTGCCAAGGGCAGGACGACCACCATTCCTCATCGCGGTGGCAAAGAGCGCTCTGAGTGTTTGCTTCTGACCCCTGGGACCACAGGATCACTGCCCCTGCCTCGCAGCACGCACCGTCACAAAGAGCTCATGCTGAGCCACAACCCATGCTGTCCCTGTCCCAGAGGCAGAAACATCTCACAGAAACAGACACTTCAACAAAGGGAGACAAACCCTTTTATAAAATATTTATTGTAAAAAAAAAAAAAAAAAAAAAAAAAAAAAAAAAAAAAAAATCACACTGTACAAATTTAGATAGAACACTCTCAATGCTCAGATTTATAAAAATGCGAACATAACACTAAAGGGATAAACTTTCACTGCTGTTTTCTTTTTAAATTAGGAAGAAAAAAATGATTTTTTTTTTAGGTACAATGAAAGGAAATGTCTAGATGACATCCAAAGAGCCTGCAATAAAAAGCCCAAGATCTACCTGCACCTCTCACAGGCTAGCTTCTGCCCAGTGTAAAGCAGATCCAGTGTGGACAGGGATGGCCCTTCCCTGGGAGGCGACGGAGCCTCTTAGATCCACACTGAAAATTCAGCAAGATTCCCAAAGCTAGCGACACAGCACAAAAGCTTGTACTCACAGTAAAACCAGCACCTGTGCTCCTGACTTCTGCTTTTCTAACATCGGATTTTATGTATACTCATCTGTATAAATGCGCAAAAGCGTGATGAGGTGTTATTTCTGGAGAGGTTAAGAAGAGACATCCAGAGTTGTTTCATTCTGTCCATTCACAGACACCGGAGAACCATAAAAAATAATCGACGAAAAATTCCAGGCTAGAAATCCTGTTTCCTTAAAAAATCATTTTAAAAGCTTGGGGTAGGCTCAGCTCTGCCACTTGTAACAGCCTAGCCAACATCCTGGGGTGGCTCCCTCCAACAAGAACCTCACCCTCTTTCACACACAAACTACTGTAAAATAACTGCAGCCTTGCAAATTGCAGGGCTTCTGTAAATAAAATGAACCAGGCAGAGAGATGTCATAGAGCCAGCAGGCTCCTTCACATTCCGGGTGACGGGCAGCTGGGGTCACAGCCACGGGTGCCAGGCGGGGTCCATGCGGCACAGGTTGTCCAGGCTATTGGCTGCAGCCACAAGGGTGTTCACTTTGCTCTCCCCGCCTTCGAACTGGGCCAGGTTGTGCAGGCGGGTCATGATGGCGGTGACAGCTTTCTGGACCAGGGAGACCAGCTGCTGGCTGTCCATGTTCTCAGGCTGTCCGGCAGCCGAGAGAGGAGAGGAGGTGTCCTCCTGCGTTTTCTTGTGCCAAGCAATGACCTCATCCCGGAGGACAGTTTTCAGAATGCCGTCCACCTGGGTGAAGGAGAGAATGAAAGGGCTCCCATCTCACCGAGAACGGCCCAGGGGAGGGCAGCTTCACAGGCCCCAGGGCAATCTGACCTCAGCACCCTGGCCAGGCCATGCACCTAGTGGGCGGGGGGCCAGCCCTCTGGGGACCACATCATCTCTTCTAGTGGGGACAGGGCCCAAAAGGCCCCACCAGGAAGACACGGTGCTTCCATCTGGTCCTCAGAGCCAGGTGGGATACGCTCAGCTGAGTGCCTTTCCGGTGTCAGGTAAGTGAATGAAACAAAACATCCACACGTGCTGCCTACTACGTCCCTGGGAGGCAGGGGCCACCCCACATAGAACACTGTCCCTGTAGGCCAGGCCCATGCACAACAGGAAGGGAAGGCTGCCATACAAGCTGACAGCCAGTGGTGACAGCTGGGAACATTTACCCAGCAGAGCATTCTGGAGCCCTCCTCGTGAAGTGGGCTCCTTCGCATCCGGACACTTCTTTTCCCACGGCACCACCTCAGTATTCTGTCCCCGGGGGCAGGGGAACAGGGCCTGTAGAGCCACCAAGTGTGCTGAGGACCGTGGCCTATGCTTCCCAAGGGATGACACTGACCCACCTTGAAGTTGGGCTGGGCAAAGCACCTCGCAACAGCAATCATGGAGGCCGTGAGAGGGCCAGAGACACCAACGGCAGTCAGGAACTCAGAAATGTTGGGGGTGAGGCGAAAAGGGACAGGGCGGTTGGCGTCTAAGTCCCCAGTCGCATCGTTTATGTCGAATCGAAAGTAGGCGACATTCAGCTTGCCGGTGTCCTGCATTTCAGGAGGAGACACATCAGGGCCACGCCCATCACCGTGGGCGACGGTCACGGCGAGTCTGACGGGCCACACCAGTTACCTGAGCAATCTGTAACATCTCAGGGTTGAGCCGATTCAAATGCAAGACGAACTCTGCGAAGCCAATGAGTGCCAGCTGGATGGTGAACATCTTCCGGAAGGTCCAGTAGTCGGTGGCATTGGGCAGCGTGTGCAGCGCCCACTCCTTCAGCATGCTGCGAGGCACCATGTTGCTCTGCACCTCCTTGAGAATGTCTCGAAGGACCTGAAACACATCATTCTGTGACTCTTCCAGTGGATTCATACATTTTTTTCTATGAAGAGAAAACACTCCAATTGCAATTACCTATTTACATCAGTAAAGGAAATCTTGTTGCCAGGGAGGGAGGATGGGAAGGGGAGGAAAAGGGAGGAAAGGAGAGTAAGAGAAGCGAGGGAAGGAGGGGAAGGGAAGGGAGAGGAGGAGGAGGAGGAGGAGGAAGAGAGCGAGAAAAAGAATTGAGCCAGGTGGGCCCAGCGAGAGGCTTGAGCAAGCTCAAGGGCAGGCCACCTGCTCTGTGGCCATGGCCCCCAGCTCCGCAGAAGTCTGGAGAGCTGACAGCCTGGCTGGCTTTGAGAGTCAGCAGCCTGACAGCTACTGCATGGTCAGAAAGGGTTTGATGACCCCCGAAATCCTCGTCCTAAAAACCCTGCCACTGTTTGACCTGTCTGGCAGCTTCCTCCAAAGAGCTCCGTTTCACAGGGTCGTCTCTGGCTGAACCCGAGCTCACTCAGGGAAGACTTCGCTTCCCATCGCCTCCCATCAGTGGCAGCTGTTTAACATCACAGGGGCCTGAGGTAGTGATGCTGACTGTTGCAGTAGGCCAGAGCCTCAAGACAAACGCTGGGAATACTAAACAGCCAACAGAGCCCAGGATGTAGCTCAGTGATGCTGTGCCTGCCTGGCAAGCTCAAGGTCCTGAATTCAACCCTCAGTACTGGGAAAACACAAAGATACGAAACGCAGCCAACACACAGGGGAGGGAGTGAAGTCACTTGCATGCAGACTCATGAAGAACTGTCAGAGTTCACAATACAGAGACAAATCACCCAATTTAAAAATGGGAAAGGGCTTGTTTGAGTAGGCATTTCTCCAGCAAATGGATATAAATTCCCAGTCTTCAACTGTGATACAGGACTTCACATCTACCGGGACAGAAGAATAAAAGAGGCTAAGGAAATGTTGCCAAGGACCTGGAGAAATCAGAACGCTTATACACGGTGTCGGGGTCCACTTGGGAAAACACTCTGGCAGCTCATCAAGATGCTAGCTACCATGTGACCCCGCAACTCCACTCCTGGGTATTCAAAACCGATGAAAACATCACATCCACACAGACATGCACGCAAATGTTCAAAGCAGCACTAGTTCTAGTAGAAAGTGAAAATAATCCGGAAGTCCATCGACTGAGAGGTCCATTAAACATACTAGAATATTATTTGGCAATAAGGAATAAATACTGACACATGCTACACAACAGAGGAACCTTGAAGACATTACAAGTGAAGGAAGCCAGACACAAAATTATACATTGCGTTCCTGTTAGGTCCACAGCGGGTAAATCCAGAGGCAGAGTGGTTTGTGGTCATCAAGGAGCGGGAAACAGAGAGGAACAGGGTATTAACGATGTCTGAAGGGTACAGAGATGGGAGCTGGATGTGGTGGTGCCTGCATGTGATCCCAGCACCTTGGAGGCTGAGGCGGGACGACTGCAAGTTCAAGCCCTGCCTAGGCAACTCAGCAATTTAGCAAGATTTTGTCTCACAGTAAAAAAAACACAGGGGTGGTGTTTGCACAACTCGAATATACTAGAAACACTGAACTATACTCTTTACAGAGTGAACTAGAAAGTGCTGTAAAAAACAGGAAGATGAAGGTACAGAGTTAGCAACAAAGCAAGCCGGGCAGAGATGAGCATGCAAGCCGGGACTGCTCTGCTCTGCCCTGCTCTGCCCTGCTCTGCCCTGCTCTGCCCTGCTCTGCACGTTTCCCTGCTCTCAGGGCTGACATCAGCTGTCAGCTGCATGGCCGCTCATGGAGCAGGGCTGCTGCTAGCGTGCACACAGACAGGAGTCACCGGCTCCCACATCAAAGGCGGCTGATGGCCTCGAAAGCACAGTTCACTCCTTTCCCACAAACACCCACGACTGCACCCCACTCACAGAACAAGGTGGCCGAGAGCTGTGCCACAAAGCTCTACAGGAGGCCACAGGTCTGTCCACACAGGCCACCAGCACACAGGGATCCACACTCCCTCTGCCAGCACCAAGATGGGAGGCTGCCAAAGACCCCACTGCCGGGGCCACCTCGGGCCCTGCTTCTGCCCACTGTGACATGAGACGTACCCGTGGCTTCCATCTTCTGAAAAACTAACTGTTCCAGACCCAGACAAACTGAAAGAAGCCCCTCAGCCACACAGGGCGGGTCACGGCTCCCAGCCTTCGGCCTTTGTGATGATACACACAGCTGGCTTTCGGTGCTCCATGCAAGCCCGGCCAAGGTCCTCTCAGCAATGGCAGGACTCTGCAATGAGGAGCTGCCCCATCCCCGAGGATGCAGGTGACGGCTGTCCAGGGTTCCTGTGGCCTGCATGAGGCTCTTGCCCAAGGTGAGCCAGTCAACTAAGTACACTTGCTGTCAGAGCCTGCCATTTCTTTTTATTTTAGAAAATATACGAGGTACAGATGTGTACATCCTCTAAGGCCCAAGAGCACACTGCAGGAATGTGAGCATTAAGTGGATAAACAGACTGCAAGTAGCCCATAGTACCTCGGATCACAACTAGCTGCAAGCGAGTTGGCAATAAAGGTACTTTTAAATTCTGATTTCTAAACTACTTCATCAGGACAAGGAAGGACATGAAATCACCAAGGGTAAGAACTTAATAATAAGGCCCTTGTAGCAAACATGCCATCCCTAAGGACAATAGCTATGTAATGTCCACCACCTCACGAGGCCACTGAGGTTAT